GAGATAAAAAGATCGCAATTACCTTTTTTATTCCTTGGTGGAAATAGGCTTCAAAATTCAAAATTAATATCTCGCAAATCTGAGTTAACATCTCGCAATTTTGAATAAAATTTTTTTTTTAAATAAAATAAAAAATAGCTTCCATAGCTAACAGCTCCATTGCTAACAGATAATATAGCTTCCATAGTTAACAGTTAACTTGCAGAGAGGGGGGTTGTTTGATTGTACACACAGGAAAAAAAAGGTACAAAAGTTGTCAGTGGGGCGGAACCCTTTCAAAAGGGTTAATATGTACCATATAGGTACTAATATGGTGCTAATAAATAAGCTACAAATCTATACCTTTTGAAATGTTACTACCTCAGTTTTGTACAGCTTTTTTCAATGAGTGTATGATGTTTTAGGTGTTCATGTCCAGCCAGTTGTATCGCAGCAGAGTGCTTGTCTCTACCTTACAACTTGGTAGGAATAGTTTCTTATTTCAGCTGTAGAAAGAATCATTCCCCTTTGGATGTCTTGTCCTGCACAGCAAGCTAAGCTTGTTTAATTTTTATTTATTTTTTTATTTATTTATTTATTTTTTGCCACTGTGTTCTTTTAAGCAGTCCTGAATCTTTTGCCTGAGGCTGACAGATAGCTTTTTGTGTGAGTCTGAGGCTCCGTCCTCAGGCGATGGACTTGTAACAGTAGTACGTGAGCAGAGCTGTCTGTCATGCTTTCAGGACTGTGTGTGTTCTGTGTGGCCAGTCTTGTGTGGGACCCTCGAGCCTGGAAAAGGGATGTGCCTGGCATCAGCAGTAAAGTTTATATGTGAAATAAAATAAAAGTGCAAAGGCCACAGTTATAAATATAACCCCACTCACTAGCGGTTAGGAGGTGTTAATCATTGGAACAACAAATTTGGAGAAGTTTAGCGTTACATCGCTTGCTCACCAATGGATCATCTGCAGTGAATGGCTGCCGTCAGACTGAGAGTAGAAACAGCTGATAAATACATCACAATAATCCACAATACAACTCCAGTGAATCAATTAATGTAAATGTGAATTGAATAGCTGTGTGATTTATAAGAAACAAATCCATCATTAAGGCTTTTTAACTTTAATCTATTGCTTCTGGTCAACATACGAGTCCATAATCCATAATAAGACATCCTCCAGTGAAAAAGTCCATCTTCTGTTGTCCTGTCACATCAGAATCCACTGACATATTTGTCTTGAACTTTTTTTGACTGTTTTTGCTTGTAAACCGTGCTTGGTCTTTGCATATTTCTCTCCTGATTCAGATTAGACAACAGTTTCACTGGAGAAAGCGGAATTACAGATAGAGGACTCATAATATAGCCAGAAGCAACGGTTTGAAGTTAGAAGCATTTTACTGATGAATTTGCTTTAACATGCAGCTTTTTGCTGCACGAGATGTTGATTGATGGACTGGATTTGTGTGGATTACTTGTGGATTATTGTGATGTTTTTATCAGCTGTTTGGACTCTCATTCTGACGGCACCCATTCACTGCAGAGGATTCATTGGTGAGCAAGTGATGTAATGCTAAATTCCACCAAATTTTCTCAGCAAATTTTCATTTTTGGGTGAACTATTCCTTTAATAAAAGTCACAAAATCCCCAAAATAAAATGTAGTAGTTTAAATGTTAGGGAAACTTTTGTGATTGAGGGTGGATGTGGTAAAGTAGGGGGCCTCTTTGCATATTTGGGTTGAATGTCTGCAGTCAATCCCAGTGCCCAATCTTTAGGGTGGAGTGATAGTGTAGGAGTGGAGATTAGAGACAGGACAAGACATAAGACAAACCTTTCCACCAGACAGGATACGAGATGTGGAGTGAACCGATATGGAGTGGAAAGAAAAGACATGGTGGATGTCTTCAATCGCACAGACTGCTATCAATGTGTGTGAGAGAAATCCAAACCACTGCATACTCTGATAAATGATTTGTTGATGTTACTATTGATCTGATGTTTGTGTCTGATCAGGGTCTGCTCACATTTATAGGCCCATAGGAGGTGTTCAGACTTACTTTTGCTGGTCTTAGTTAATTGCCATTTTAATATAATATTGTCATATCAGGCATGTACAAAGCCTGAAGGCCTGATGATAACTTCATTATCGTGCAGCGGTTCTTGTAAGAGCCTTTAGATTGGTTACTACTCCATTGAGGCCTGTTTGCAATCTGTTCTCATGGGCCTGCCTTTTTTTTTTTGCCCCGTCTTTGTGCCTGCTGTCCCATCATGCCTCTGACACCTATCTCAATACCTGCTTGTCAGCCTTTTAGGATTTTTTTAGCACAACTGGCACTTTTATGTTAATATGTAAAGAATTAAATGATTAAACTGAAGATTTAAGATGTGTTACTGTAGATCCCTGCTTAGTCCTCACAGAGATTTTATTCACCTTCATTTTGAGTTAAAGGCTGGCTGATACTTCATATTGATTTCTGTGTGCCTTGTCTTGCTCTTTAGAAGGGATTTCACAAGTACTGCTTAAATCTGTTTTTTTTTTGTGAAAGATGTTTCATAGTCCTTCAAGAGGTCAAGATTTAAACAGGTCTGTTTGGGAAATTGCCCTTAATAACAGCATTATTAAAAACTACACTTACAGCAGTTATATAAATTTCTTTGTTTTAATTTTACCTCTTAAAATCAAATTTTTCAAATTTACAATTCTGTATTCTGTTTGCTACCTACGTTTTCAGTTCAAAGCCTGCAGTTGTAAACAGATCAGGGGACATGGTACAGTGTTTAGTTTTATTTATTTATTTATTCATTCATTCATTTATATATACATTTTATGTATTTGCATTATATACATTTTATTCCTTTAATTATGTATAAATATTTTTTATTTTAAATGTACATGTAAAAAAATTTACAATTATGAAAGTCAGTACTCTATCCATATATAAACACATTTTATTCATTGTATGCATTTTAATTGTTTTAATTATTTATAAATATTAGTTATTCATTCATTTATAAATTATATAAAAATTATATTTATTAATTTCAAATTTAAATGTAAAAATACTGACTTTTATAATTGTCACATTTTAAATGACTGTATTCATATATAAATAAATTTAATTTGTTTTATACATTTTAATTATTTTATTTAATTTTATTTAAATATTTATTCATTTAAATGTAAAAATAATTTAGAAATGTGACAATTATGATAGAAGTAAGTACTGTATCCATATATGAATACATTTTATTTCATACATTTTAATTAATTATTTATAAATATTTATTCATTTAAATGTATAAGTAAACAACTGAATAACATTACAATAATAAAATAAGTCCTGTATCTCTATATAACTACACTATACCTGTGTTATTTGTCTCTGCCTCTCTCCCTTCTGTCTCTTTCTCTCACTTTTTCTTTTCCAAACGCGCACACACGACAGAGATAACAGCAGCCAGAGGAGACTAATGAATAATGTAGAGTCCCGTCTCTGTGGTGCCATTGTAAATATTGACTTTATATTCTCAACAGTTTGTAGAGTAACAGCCATCAGTGTCTCTTTCTGTATATGTGTGTATAATTCAAAGTCTCTTACTGATGACCAAAACTCACTTTTTTTATTAGACTATTACTTTTTGTGCGTGAGGTGTAAGGTGTGTCTGAAGTGCCTGTTTTGTGACACAGAGACAGGGGTGCTTTCTTGAGTTACAGTATTTGTGTCCTAGCATCAAGCCAAAAAACATGATGTCCTCTTCTTGTATGTGAATTGGTTAATCATGCTAAAAAGGAAGTGACAACATCTTCTGTCTCACGCCATAAGTTCATGGAGGAGCACATGTTGCTGTCTTCATGTGGAAATCAGACTAAAACATGCACAAAAATATGAATACTACCATCATTGTCATCGTACCTGCTTAAATTGAACCACTCTCTGTCTTGTTACACCTGTGTCCATATTTTTGGCAGTAACATTTTCCTGCAGTGTAAGAGAAAAGGGTGCTTGTAACCATGGTGATGCCTGCAGACATATTTATGACTATTCTTAAATTCATGCCCTCTGGCCTTCCTGAATACCTTCTTTTACCTTCTCCTTGTTCCAGCATAGCTCTTCTAACTGCTTTTTTTGGTCCTCTCTGAGATAGACGGATAGCATGAATCCCACTCCTTTGGGACTTGTTGTTCAGTGTGGTTGGAGAGCGTGGCCTGTATTTACCCCGTGGTCTCTAGAGAGCTGCTCCAGGTGGAAGTAATAGCCGTATGTCTTTAGAGCTCTAAAAAGCATTCAAACCCCCAGAGATTCAGTGTCCTGAGTAGATTCTAACAGCTGATGTAGTGTTTTGAAAAAATCCCTGGAGAAGTCACACCAGGTTTTAGGGAATTATTAATATGATCATTTATTCTTTTTGTGTGTGTATGAGAGTATCTTAGCCTGCCATGGCATGGTTATCTAAATCAGTCTGTAGTAGTGTTGTTTTGTTCGTTTGTTTTACTTATTTTATTTGCTTATTTTTGTTATTATTTATTTATTTTCATTTGTTTTTAGTCTATTTATTGTTTTTTATTTATTTGTATGTGTTTATTTTGTTATTGTGTTGTTTTTATTTATTAATTCATTTATTTATTATTTATTTATGTTTGCATTTATTTGTGTTTATGTATTTGTTTATTTTCTTTTTTCTTTTTGTTTGCATTTATTTATTTTTATTCATTTATCGTTTTATTTTCTTTTGTTTTTAATTTATTTATGTCTGTTTTTATTAGTGTTTATTTGTTTAGGTTTTATTTATTTTTGTCTGTTTTTGTTTATTTTTAACTTAAATTAAAAATGAAAAAAAAAAAAGATTTTTTGAATAAGTAATTAAATCTACAGACTTAATATATTGTTTTAAAATGTGTTCATTCTTTTATTATATCAGTTTGACATTTCCAGATATAGCCAGAAGTTTAGTATTGCTAGTTTGTCGCAGGAGACCGTTATTTACAAAAGCTAACTCTCATTCATTTGTTTCATCGGCAGCATATCCAGATGACCATCCAGGCCCTCCAGGACGAGCTGCGGATCCAGAGAGATCTGAACCAGCTGTTCCAGCAGGACTCCAGCGTTCGTCCTGGCGAGCCCCTGACCGCCGAGCTGACTGAGGAGAACTTCCAGCGGCTGCACGGTGAGCATGAGCGGCAGGCCAAGGAACTCTTCCTCCTGAGGAGGACTCTGGAGGAGATGGAGCTGCGAATCGACACGCAGAAACAGACACTGTGCGCCCGAGACGAGTCCATCAAGAAGCTCCTGGAGATGCTGCAGAGCAAAGGGCTGTCGGCCAAGGCCAACGAGGAGGACCACGAGCGGACACGGAGGCTGGCCGATGCCGAGATGCATATCCATCACCTGGAAAGCCTTTTGGAGCAGAGAGAGAAGGAAATGGTCTTGCTGAGGGAGGTGAGAGCACTGAGGAAACTCAGAAACCCATCATACAACACTTATGCAACCTTTAAACCTCTGAACAGTCAACTCTCCTTTTTAAACATAGACGTGAAAATGCACTATCCAAGCTTAAATGGTTGTAATTCCTGAATGCTTTGTAATACAGTTGGTCACTTTTTAAAGAAGACAATCAGCAGATTATTGCTGAAGTAAAAGCATTTCAAAAAATTAAAAAGTTATAGACGTTCACTGTAAAGAAAATGTACTGTACTAAAAACAAAAACTTTAAATAAATATATTATACTAGTTATTTATATTTGTTATTTTCATATACAAATACCTAAATAATAAATATAATAATAATAATTCTAAAATAAAAAAACGAAAACCACTATAAAATCAAAGCCATATGTCAAACTAAGTTATGTTCCAAATTTGAAGTTGATATCTCAAAAATTGTGGTTCCTTTGAGATTTTGTTTAGGCGCTATACCAAAAATAGCCACCGGGTGACACCCAAACTCCACTGATTTTTTAAAAGTATTTTCCTGTCACAAATGTATACATTTCTGTCACAGTATTACTTCTGTCTCAAAATAGTCACCAAATATGGACTCTAGAGACTCAGACCTTTCCAACAATACATGTTTTGTCAAGATTAGAATAAGTTTTGAGTATAAAATATTGTATTAACATGACACTTGACATCTCCCACTAGGTGGAGGAGCCAGCTAAAAGAACTGAAAGTACCATTTCCATGGTAACGGAATGTCCAATTTCAAAACGGTTTTCACAGGATGAATTTTGAGTGTCTGAATGATATATCATGATTACTAAAATCACTGACAGATAACAGGTTAATCAACCAAATAGAAAAGTGTATACAATGCCATTCACTAGCATTAGATATGTCAACTTAGCAACATTTAAACGACTATTGTAGATTGAATAACAGAACCAAACAGCTGCTCTGGGAACGATGCTGACAGCACTTGGCCATTTATCCAGAGAGGATTCACAGTCAAATGTTTTCACTAAGACTCCCAATTATGGTGACGATGAATCAAGGGCTCTAGATTAGTCATTTTTAAACTGCGCCGGACGAGCAAGCTTACCGAGAGAGAACGAGACAGGGAAACCTTTTACAAATTGAAGGCATTGAACATTGTTGCTATAGAAACGGGAGAGACTGAAAAGAACATTGATGAAAGGAGACACAGATGTTGCTGAGAGCAAAAACTGTTAATGTGGCGGGAGACACCTTTATCACATTTAGTTTAGTAGTTTATCTCGAGGAGTGAATCTGATTGAAGTTTATTCAAGTTCAACTGAATTTCCCAGTCAGATTTGTTACATAAGTTGTTTAGTTTGTAATACTTAACCCGGAAGAGAATTAGCTTTCGAGTCAAGGGTTCCCTTGTGAATTTGATTTATAAGTAAGATAAGAGACATTTATGTTTTGTTGACAGAAATGTGATCATACTTTAGTTGTTGAATGTTGCTAATAAGTTGGACTCACAAGGATGTGAGTTACTGTACTTGATGAATCAAGCAAACTTTTTAGTGCTAGTTTGCTATTTGTATCCTTTTATGTTTGTCAGATGCGATACTGTCAGGAGGCTGATATAGTGGTTATGTAGTTTTGAAAGGAGTTCTGTCTGGCAATCTCTCTCTGTATTTTTGTCAGGCATCTTCTGAGACAGCCAACAGTCAATAGCAGGACTTTGGTGACAGTGACATCTAGTGGCCAGTTAATAAAATGGCACAATCAGCTCTAACTAGGGCACACAAGGCTTATCACATTTTCTCAACTGGTTGTGGGAGAAAATATGCAGGACTTTGAAAGGAATTGATAAATAGAGCTGACAGTACTACATGGCTACAAACAACCCTCTGAACTACTGCTGTTCAAACGTTTGGGGTCTGTAAAATTCTTTATTGTTTTTGAAAAGCCTTTTATAGTCTCTTGCAGAAATACAGTAAGACAGTAATATTGTGAAATATTATTACAATTTCATAATGATTTTCAAAATGAATAATCACAATGATTTCTGACTTGGAACTACCTGGGCATTTAACGTTTTTTTTTTTCTGCCTAATATTTTGTGGAAACTGTAATACTTTTTTTCAGAATTCTTTGATAGATAAAAAGTTCAAAATAACCGCATGTATTTAAAATAATATTTTGTGACATCTTAAATGACTTTACTGTCAGTTTTGATCAATTTAATGCATCCTTGTAATATATAGTAGTAGATAAGGTATTGTAAGTAATATGCTGTGGTCTCAGCGAGTTTAGTGCCATTAAATGCAGTAATGCATGATTAAAATGTTACAGGTGAAGTCTGGGCTAAAATAATAAATTGGACGGAGATCAGAAGAGCATTTTAGGTTATTTATTGGGGCCTCCAGTTGGACTTCCGAGAACAGGGATAAATAAACTAATAGCCCTTCTTTTAATCTAGTGATTTAAAATTTTATTATTAAGAATTTTCCCCTCTTTTATTCTTCTAAAAGCATTTGGTGCATTAAATAGACATACTGTAACATTTACACTACAGCCCTCCCTCCCAAAACCACCCAGATATTTCAGTGCCTCTTCTATATTCGGCAACAGTGTTCATTTACGTATACAACTCTTAAAGGTGCAGTGGGGAAAACAGCCCTAAATCACATTGTGACTAATATTATAAGTGAATATAACACATACGTTTTTTTTTTTCATGAACATTTTTTATTTCAGCTGTTATAACGTCCTGGGAACAGATAGTGATGTTGTAGCTCTTTTAGATGTGAATATTATTCAACAGCATCTTTCAACAGTTACATTCCCTGAAGCACTGCTCCGCTTTCCATATGCTTTCCATGACTCCACACGTGTAGATGCATGGCTGTTTTTTTCCATGCCTGTCTGTGTGCGTTCATATCTGATGGGTTTGGTGTCCAGACTTTGTGTTTGAATGATGATTTTGAGCTCTTTAATTGCCCAGAGGGGGCAGGCTGGCCGCATCTCTTTGTGTTTGGTGGACGTTGCATTCACTCTATTTGTCAGTTGCTCGGTACATTATCTTTTTCATAAGGGACTCAGTCATGCATAAACACTCAAACCAGCCGACTGAAAGTGTCTCTTCTGCCTCAGATGCAGTGATATCAGTGTGCTGAATTTACAATTTGGCTGTGTAAATCAGAAGTCTGGGTTATGTTATTATCAGTGTTTGGGGTGCACATAATGTGGGGTGGTATGGATCCTCATCAGCTGATGGCTGCCGGTAGAGGAAGCCGTTATTATCCTGTGGTTTCACCTCACGATCCTCGTCTCATGTTTTCTCCTCAGGATCTCCACCGACGATTTGAGGGAGCTCCAGAATCTGCCAAAACCAAGGCCCTACAGACTGTCATTGAGATGAAGGCAAGTGTGTGTATGTTTGTGTGAGTGTGTTTGGTGTAAGTAAATCCCAAACTTTAGTGTTTTTTTCCAAGCAGGACTGATTGCTTTAAAAAATAATGTTACCTAAACTACTCTCATATTCCCGAAACTGTCATATTGAGTCAGTTTTGTATTTGTACACTACTGCTCAAAAGCTTAGAGTTAGTTTTTTGTATTTATTCATTTTTTTAAAGGAATGAATACTTTTATTCATCAAGGAAAAATTTAATTGATCAAAAGTGACAGTAAAGGCATGTACAATATTACAAAATAATTCTGTTTCGAATAAATGCTGTTCTTTTGAACTTTCTATTCATTATAGAATCCTGAAAAAAATGTATTATGGTTTCTACAAAAAATATTAAGTAGCGCAACTGTTCTCAATATTGATAATAATAAAAAATGTTTCTTGAGCAGCAAATCAGCATATTAGAATGATTTCTTAAGGATCATGTGACACGGAAGACAGCTTTTCCAATACAGGAATAAATTGCATTTTTATATGAAAATAGAAAACAATTATTTTAAGTTGTAATAATATTTCACAATATTACAGTTTTACTGCCTTGATGAGTGCAAGTCTTCTTTCTAAAACATCCAAAAAATCTTACAGACTTAACTTTTGAACAGCAGTGTATTTGTTCTTAGTAGGTTTTCTTTGTAAGTAGGATCCACAGTAAATCTGAACCATATCATTTATCAACATTATATTAATATACTGGTATGTGCCAATATTGATAAATTATTAATGCAAGCTCATTTCCACTGTTTTTACATTTTAATTAACATTTGCTTATATAAATGACCTAAAGTTTAACTTTAAAGACACTGGTAATTTAATGTTCACAGAAAGGTTGTTCTATGGCATCACTGTGAATACCCCCCTTTGGAACCTTGATTTTTAAGAGTGTCACATTATTAAAGTCGTTATTATAGTCATGTTTCAAGCCTAAAGTGAAAAACACCTCTGTATGATAAACTCCCCTTGATAAGATATTAAATGTTTTGCACCTTCATGTCCTCCATTCCTCTGCTTTGTCCGTCTCCTCATCAAACATCTCTGTGATCTCTGCAGGATTCTAAGATCAGTTCTCTGGAGCGCAGTCTGAGTGACCTGGAGGACGAGATACAGATGCTCAAGTCAAACGGGGCTCTCAGCACAGAGGAGAGAGAGGAGGAGATGAAACAGATGGAGGTCTACCGCAGTCACTCCAAGTTCATGAAGAATAAGGTAGAACCTGCGGCTCATGGGAACTACAACTGTTTTGCTTTTTTAACCTGTGCAGGTCATGTGTTATTTGAACACATATTTATTGTTTTTGACTCTTTGTTAGGGTTGAATTTTACCAGACATCATGTGGTGTTGCTAATATTTACTTTGATACTAGTGTTATGGTATGGTGTGTATCGCAGCTAGATAAAGAAGCATGAAAATGCCTACATATATTATTATCATTACTAACTTTTTTGACGTTGCATTTTTAATTGTTTTTTATTTTTGCTTTTATAGTCTTTATTTTTGTTTATTTTTAAATATTCTATTCTATATGTATATTTAAGTATATATTTTATAGTTTATTTTATTTTCTATATTAAGATATTGTTTTTCTTTAGTAAACTTTCCATTTAGTTTTTAAAAATGTCCCATTTTTAATGACATTTAATTGCAGCTGAATGGCTAAATCATAACCGCATGGCCTGTGTGGTGAATGCTGATTGGTTTGGTTGCTGATAACATCACGTGAACGTGGGTGATGTTTGGATGGGCACAGGGTGTGCATGCGAGTTGGTGATCGGTGGTTGGTGGTTGTTGCAGTAACATCGCCCTCTCCTAACAGGTAGAGCAACTGAAGGACGAACTGGCACAGAGCGACGCTCAGGGCGAGGAGCTGAAAAAGCAGGCGGCTGAGCTGCAGCAAGAGGTCTCTGCCGTAAGAAACCCAGAGAACCGGCTTAGAATACGCACAGCTCTGCTTCCCTCACCAGAGAGGGCATCTCGCCCACTCAGACCCCAAATAGAGATTCACGCTAAGCCCACTGACTGACACTTTAGCTCAAGCCGGGGTTTTTTTCTGCAAGAGATTCACTGTATAAATGTCTGATTTACAGAAGCCTTGAAGGCCAAGGCGAATTTATTATTTTATATATCTTTTTTTTAAGAATATATTTAATATATTTTTTAAATATATTTTTAATAAATTATTTATGCCTTCTGCTCTGAGTAAAAAAACAAAACAAAACCAATGATTTTACCATATTCTATAAATATAAATATTTTTTTTATTTTATATATAAAAAAATATATATTCATATTAATTACTGGCAGTGTTATTTTAGTAAATAGTATTTATTAATGTTTTGAATGAGCTTTTATTTTTATATTTTCAGTTTTCATCTTAATTTTAGTTTTAGGTAAAGTAATTGTGTAACTTTTGCCAATTGTGTTGTGCTATCATTTTTTTTTTCATATTTTGTATAGTTTGTTTATGTATATTTTAAACTAATTTCAGTAAGTTTCTAAGGCAACATTTCAACAAGTTGAAGTTTCTCATATAATATTATTATTTATATATATGTATTCTTTCAGATTTATTTCAATGACTGAAAACCGATAATAACAACAATGGCTGTTTGTATCAGTCACATTTTCTATATCGCTGCATTCTCTCAATATTCTGATTAGTGGTCAGTCAGTATCGTTTCGTCAGTATCATACTAATTGACCACCTCAGTCTTTTTTTACATATCAGTATCAGCTTAAACAGAACTTAAAGAGAAAGTCATGGAAAATGTACTCTTGGACACAAAGACAAAGAGTCGCAACACTTGATGGGAGGGAACAGTGGAAAAGGTCCCGGGGTGGTGAAGGGAACTGATAAAAAATATTCACTTTTGAGTCTCGACTGTTGTCACAATAGTCGGATTGGTGGGCGGCAGCGTTCAGGCCGACCGGGTGAAATCTCAGGGTTTCTCTGATCAGGAAAGCAGAGCCCAACGCTGTGCCGAAAGGTCGGATGCCACACTAGACTCGCACGGAGCTTTTCACCTGTCTCGCTTTCTTTTCCTCTCTCTTTTGTTTGTAGTGCTGGTTGGAGTAGAGCACTAATGTCCATGAGGCTTGACTCTTTCTCTCTCTATCACTCTGAATTGTCTCTCTCGCCATCTCCTGTGCCTGCGCACACTTGTTTTCACTAGGGTGACTGTCAGCCAGTAGAGTTACAGCTTTAGGCCATACTAACCTGCTATAGCTGCCCCAGTGCATGCTGGGAATGTTAAGACGATGGACACTTGTTGTCTGTTTTTTTAGTGGCTTAACACTTTGTTTACTGTCTGTTTATGGAAAATGGATTTAAATTTGTACTTACAGTGGGTACGGAAAGTATTCAGACCCCCTTAATTTTTTCACTCAACTTGTTGCATCTTTCCCAAAGACTCATGGCTGTATTAGATCAAAAGGGTGCTTCTACTCTAAATACTGAGCATGTGATATTTCAGTTTTTTTTTTTTAATAAATCTGCAAAAATGTCAACAATTCTGTGTTTTTCTGTCAATATGGGGTGCTGTGTGTACATTAATGAGGAAAAAAAATTAACTTGATTGATTTTAGCAAATGGCTGCAATATAACGAAGAGTGAAAAATTTAAGGGGGTCTGAATACTTTCCGTACCCACTGTAATTCGAATGCTTGTTTATCTTTCAAGAATGAATGATTTTTTTTTTGTGGATGTTTTTTTTTTTTTGTGAAAAGACTGAGCATTATGGAGTGCTATGTGTCCATCTGTTTTTGAGCTCAATACATAGTTTTTCTATTTACAGGAATTGCTTTATGCTAAAATAACCTGGTAATGCTCTGTGTTTTTGCAGTGTCTAATTCAACGGATTTGCAAGTTTAATTTGTCTAATATGTGTTTAGATTACCTTAGATCAGGGTAGATCCAAATCCAAGGTTCTGTTTCATTCCTCCTGACCACCAGAGGCGGTGCTTAAGCACTAGTGGATAATCACAGAGCCAGCTCGATAGGTTGAGATAATATACCAAAAAAGTCACGTGGTGTCGTAGGCTAAGCCTCGAGTATAATAGACTCACTAGCTCAGTCGGTGCAATCCGACTGCCAGTTGTCAAGTCTATACATTGTTTTTCTCTGTTATTGCGGTGATCATGGCTCACGGTTCTATTACTACTGGATTCCCATTAACATGTAAACTGTGCCCTAATACTGTTCTATCTGACGATAGCCATGATGTTTGTCCGTCCTGCTTTGGAATTAAGCATATGAGAGAGGCTCTCACGGACCAGTGTTTGCACTGTAGCCTTTTACCTATGTCTGAGAGATGGCAAATGGGACCCCAAGTCTGCAGTGAGACTCGGAGGAACAGAGCCGCAACCTACCACATGGAATCAGAAACGCGGTGCATCTGTGGCTGCCCCATCTGAGAAGGCAACGTCACAGAACAAGCAGGTAGATGAAGCTTCTCTTTCTAAGACAGTTGCTGAGATATCCAAGATAAATCGCCGCCTTCAGATGCTCCAGCCTGTTATGCCTGTAGCTATTACACAGGAAAATGAGGAGGGTTGCAGTAAGAGAATGGATGATGAAACTTTTAGTTCCTCTTCTCCTTGTCTCATGCTGACTTTGACGTGCTCTCTGCAAGTGCGTCTGACTTGCTTTTCCAGGATCATTTGAATGCAGTAGATGTTGCTGCGCAATCTCCCCCCCAGGTTAATACAGTTTTTTCAGCTGCGGGGGGTTCTAGTGGGTATTCGATTCACTCAGGACTAACTCCATCCTCCGCGGATGATACCTTAGCTGTGCTCCAGATGGCAGTTGCTTGCTTAGGACTGGATAACTCACCAGTACAGCCAGCCCAGTCCAACATCTTTTTTAGACAGTTTCGGCTGGATTTGCTATGCCACCATGCAAGGATTTCATTGCAGAATTTTCGAACTCCCTCATAGGGTCTAGTGCACCTTAACCGTGGTCAAAGACTGCCTGTACACAGGCATCTATGTAATATGCTGATACCATTTACAAGCATTGATTTGATAGATGTTTACTTTCATGTTCCGATTGCTCCTCACCATATGAAATTTCTTCGATTCAGTTTCAGAAACCAGGCATACCAATTCAAGGTCCTACTGTTCGGCCTGTCTTTGGCCCCTCGTGTCTTCACAAGGTGAATGAATGCACCTTTACATCCGCTGTTGTTTAGACAAAACAACAAGCTGGCCGAGACACCAGACTGAGCATGTGCAGAAATCACAGGGGTGTTTGTGGAAATTGGTCTCCAGCTCCAGAGACCACATCAATCTCCTAGAATTGCGTTCAGTTTTCATAGCCCTGCAGCAATTTTTGCCAGTTCTGGCAGGCCGTCATGCCCTCATTTGGTCCGACAACACCTTGACAGTGTTTCACCTGAGCCATCAAGGTGGAACAAAGTCCCTCAAGTCTCTGCATCTCACAGACAAGATACTCACTTGGTCTCTTCCATCGTTGAGGGCAGGTCACCTCCTGGGATCGAGCAGTCAGGTAGCGGATGCTCTGTCAAGGGATCTTCTGCACCCAGGGGAATGGAGGCTTCACCAGGATGTGGTGCAGAAGATATGGCAGCAGTTCGGCGAAGCAGAAGTGGATCTTTTTACAAAAGAGGCAAACACTCACTGTCGCTTGTGGTTTGCGAGAACAGAGACATCCAGCCCATTGGGGCAGGATGCTCTGTCTCACGAGTGGCCAAACTGTCTGCTTTATGCGTTCCCTCCTCTTCCACTTCTGTGGGACACATTACACAGAATATGTGCAACCACAGAGTGTTACTTGTAGCACCTTGATGGCCAGCCAGGCCTTGGTTTCCCATGCTTCTGTCGCTATTGGTGGGCTAGTCTCGCATAGCCAGACCTTCAGACTGTCGGCTGAAGGTCTGGAATCCACGGCAGCTTTCATTGGCCAAGGCCCGCCCATGAGGCCGTTTGACCAACATGTCAAACAACCAATCACAGTTCGTTTCGTTTCAGCGTCACATCTCGGGACGTTTCGGTGTCGCCACAATAACAGACCGGTGTGTAAAACTCTCGGACATATTTTAAAGATTCTATGCCGCAAACTTTAAATATTTCACATACTTTTGAATATCCAGAGTTTAGTTGATCCTGATAAGCGCTCGTCGTCACAGTTGTAAACACGATGGCTTTCTTCTTTCGTGAGGGGGTTTGGCGCCACGGCATCTTTGTTTCCAGGCAGAACGTTAATGAACGCGACACACACGTCTCCCGGAAAACCAGTATAATTTAACCAATCTGATGACGACTTCGAAACTCCTGAAGTGTTTCCACTTTTGTGTGCCATATGCATCAGACGTTCAGCCAACGGTCCGTGGGCGTGACGTCTGAGGCTGAGACTATTGGTGGGCAGGGCATGGCAGCTTCTGCTTTGGAAGGACCTGTTGTCACAGATGGATGGCGCTGTTTGGCATCTGGATCCAGCCAGTCTGCTGCTATGGGTTTGGCCTCTGGGGCCGACTGTCTCTTAGCAGATTGTGAGCCCGCTGTCATTCATACCATATCTAGTGCTAGAGCTGCACCCACATGTCAGCTCTATGCAGCACATTAGAGGATTTTCTCGTCATGGTGCGACGAACGTTGGTTAGGTCCTACATGCTGTGACGTTCCTGGAGTTCCTAGTTTTTGCAGCATCTTTTGGATTCAGGCAAAGCAGCCTCCACACTGAAGGTATATGTTGCAGGCATTTCTGCGCATCATGTACTGGTTAATGGTTCTTCTCTTGGTTCTCATACTCTTGTGTGCTGTTTTTTTTGAAAGGTGCGAGGTGGTTGAAACCAGTTCATAACCCCCATTTTCCTGGATGGGATTTGCCGCTTGTTCTTGATTTTGTCTGTCTGCCACCATTTGAGCCTTTGCAGAAAGCTGGCCTGAAATTAATATATTTAAAAACAGTTTTTTTTGTTTGCAATTGCTTCTGCTAACTAAGTGTGTAAGTGAGTTACATGTTTTGTCCATTAGTGAGTTATGCATGCGTTGGTTGCCAGATGATTCTGGTGTTGTGCTCTGACCAAATCCTTCTTTTCTACCTAAAGTTCTGCTTCCACAGTTTATAAATCAGTCAATCAATTTTGAGCTCACCTTTTGTGTCACCTTTTGTGTCTGTGCGAGCCCTGAAGGGCTATGTGACTCCTACTGTTCATCTTAGGAGCACAGATCAGCTTTTTGTTTGTTATGGTGGTGCAAGGAAAGGGACTGCTGTGTCAATGCAGAGATTGTCAAATTGGATTGTGAAGGTCATCACTATGGATTACAAAAAAGCCCAAAAACCTTTGCCAGAGGGTGTCATTCCAATAGGGCTGTGTCTACGTCTTGGGCTGCTTTCAGAGGAGTCTCTATAGAGGATATTTGTGCTGCTGCTAATTGGGCTTTCCCATGCACTTTTGCCCGATATATTTTATATATTATTGCGACCTATCAAGCTGGCGCTGTGATAATCCACTAGTGCTTAAGCACCGCGGTCATCCAGAATTCACAGAACCACAGTTACATTCGTAACTAGCGTTTTGTTCCCATGTCAGACCTATGACTACAGATTTCATTCTGTTTTATGCTTTTAAAGCAAAACATTGCTGCATTTGTATTCTGCAAAGGTGTTTTCGGGGGAAGTTGTGTGTGAGATTTGACCAGAGCTTGGAGGTCTGGTTTGAAGGGGAGTTTCTGGAGAGTTTTCCACATACTTAGAGCAAATGTTTGTCTTGCACAGATTGACCAGGTGAAGCAGGATCTCTCCAGGAAGGACACTGAGCTCTTGGGCCTGCAGACTAAACTGGAGACGCTCACCAATCAGTTTTCTGACAGCAAACAGCACATTGATGTGCTCAAAGAGTCTCTCTTTGCCAAGGAACAGCGTGCTGCCATCTTGCAGACTGAGGTAAGAGTTACGTTATGGCAATGAATTGGCATTGTATGGTTGGATAAAGATAAAAAAAATTCTCATATTTGTGCATTATATATCTTTGAAGTTCTCATTAGATCCCTTTTCTACCAAATCAGCTTTCAAGAAAGATATTTAGTAGGAGAATTATGTCATAACTGGGTTAATTTTTCCCCTATCCATTCTGAGTAATACTCTTTGCCATTGACACAATTCTGACATACATGGGTATAGAAATGAATCACCCCCTTTAAAATAATCACATTCTGTTGCCTTGCAGCCTGAAATGAAGATGGACACAGTTTTTGTTTTATCCTGCTGTATTTACTCAGTGCAATTTATAACATCCAAGTGAAAGATATAACCAACATGTCAGAAAAACAAAACAAAAAACAAAACAGAATAACTGAGTTGGAAATAAGGTCCCCCCCCCCCCTCTTGAAATGGACTTGTAAACTCAATCAGGTGTAGCTAATGTCACCTTCTCAATGGCACACAAAGCCCTTTGACTTTCAACTGTGATTAGCTGTGCTCATTTTGATTAGCTCAGCATGAAAAGAGCTTTTACTGGAGAATTTCAGTCCTTGATAGTGCAACTGAAGCAAACAATCAACTATGGGTGGCAAGGCACTGTCAAAACATCTCCGGGATAAAGATGTGGACAGGCACAAGTCAGGAGATGGATACAACGTGAACATTTGGGCGGTGTTATGCAAATCTTCCCACATTGTGATGTAGACATGTGGGGGCGTGTTAGAATGAGCCGTTTTAGGTAGGCGTGGTTAACTCTTAACTTTTATAAAGAATATCTCTTTGGTTTTGAGACTTTAGTGTTTGCAACGTTACAGATCTTCTTTATGCACCAAGAGCTTGTAACACTCCAAAGAGAAAGGAAAAATTGAAATCGCATCATATGACCCCTTTAAACCCCATTGAAAATCTGTGGAATGACTTGAAGACTGCAGTCCACAAACGCTCACCATCAATTTGAACTGAACTTGAGCAGTTTTGCAAAGAAGAGTGGACAAATATCCCAAAGTCTAGATGTGCAAAGTTAGTAGAGACAAATCCCAACAGAATAAAGGCTGTAATTAAAGCAAAAGTGATTCAACAAAATACTGACACAAGGGGGTGATCCTTTTTCCAACTCTGTTATTCTGTTTTATTTATTTATTTATTTTTTCTGACATGTTGGTGTTATATCTTTCACTTGGATGTTATAAGTTGCACTGAGTAAATACAGCTGGATAAAACAAAAACTGTCATTTCAGGCTGCAAAGCAACAAAATGTGATTATTTTAAAGGGAGGTGATTCTTTTCTATCCCACTGTAACTAGTTAGCCAGCTAGATAACTTTATTATCATGACTAGGATTACCACTGTCATGGAAATCCTGGATATCAGGATCCTGGCATTTTAAATGTTTTCCAAATGCCTAGAAAAGTAATTTTCTGTACAAATGTATGGATCTCAATGAATATCAGTTTTCTTTTTTCAAGCTACTGTTATGTTTGATTTCTGATTAAATTGTTCTTTTCAATTTGATTCAATTTGAGTCGATTCATTGCAATGTCAAACTGGTTCACAAAATGAACAAAACGTTCTAAATGAATTTTTAAAAAACGTATTCAAAAAGAGGGGGAAGAAAATAGAAGCATAAAAAGCATAATTCATAAAAATAAGCATAATTTATATCAACAGTGTTTACTACATGACACACACACAAAAACATGTTTAAGTTTGCAACTCATAAAACATGTATATGATCAAAAGACACCACTTAATTAACTAGCAATACTAAAATACTACAATACTATAGATTTATAAACACAGTACAATAATATATAATAGAATACATTTTATGCATATTATACTCGGAACATTAAAACGTTTTCTGTTATCTGCATTAAAGTAATTTTGTTCATATTTTAGGGCTAAGAATATAAATTATTCCTGAACTTTATATTCCATGTATAATGACAATATTGAATAAAAGTAATGTTTCTTTTTATCTTTTGTGTCAATGAAAAACTATTGTATTTAATGCGGTTTTCTTGCAAGACCTTTAGGGGGCACTGTTGTATCAAACATGTTATTTGTGAAATTGCAGGGGCATGAATGGCTTCTTTGTGTGTAAGTTTAATTCTGTAGTTTGTCTATCATCACACTTTTTATCATAATCCAGTGTTACCAGTGCCAGCATGTGATTCATGGAGTTTAGCTGACGGTTAATGTGCCCTGACTGGCCAAGTATTAGTGTGATCCTGTACACTGTCTTGAATAATAGTGTTATAATGGACAATAAGTGTCAGTTCATGCGTCTGCATGAGTTTTGTGCCTGTGTATTTCAGGTCGATGCTCTGCGTTTACGTCTGGAGGAGAAGGAGGCTACGCTTAATAAAAAGAGCAAGCAGATTCAGGAAATGTCAGAGGAGAAGGGCACACTGAATGGAGAAATTCACGACCTCAAAGACATGCTTGACGTCAAGGAACGCAAGGTCAACGTGCTGCAGAAGAAGGTAAATGACAGTTCGCACACCAACACTGTAGCAAAATTGTTTGTTACTTTGATGGTTTCATGCTCTCAGAAGGAAATAAAACATTGTGGTCAAAAACTTTTGCAAGCAGTTGAGAACCATTGCAGCAGACTATGCATTCGTAAACATGGACGAGCCCTTCAAACGGGTGTCATTTCCTCCTCCTTAACGTAGATGGCACTGTTAGGCCACGTTTGATGAGCTCTGGTGAAATGCACGAAACCAGCCTCACCAAATATCCCTTTGTGTAAATTTATGATTTCTAAAAGTAGGGAAAAGTTGTGTTTGTGATGGCGACGGAGTCTCCTCTTCTCAGAAATGATACACACAGGCCATTAACCTCAGGCTAACAGCGGGCGCCAAGGTTTATACGTCTGTTCTGCATCTTTCATATCCATGAAACAGCTGTTTGCTACTGCCTTGAACCCACGTCGAATATACAAGAAGTCGTAGCTTTTGCCGTTCCCACCGACATCGCCTTTCATCGTCAATATATCGGGTGCAGCTTTGAACTTCATTCCACAATATACAGACTTTGACAGAAATCGGCACACAAACGGTGCCAAGTCAAAATGTTTCAAGCTCGTTGTGCCGTACTCTTTATGTTTGTCAGAGGATGTTTCCATAGTGACTGGCCATGGCTGGTCGTCCCATGAGGCAATGCTTCAGCGGTCACATCCGACTATCAGTTTCAGTTATTCTGCGCTGAGATCACAGGCTGTGCAAACAAGCCCCCCATCCGTAGCCTCATTAATCTTGATTTAGGGATAGTCTGAGTGCACAGAACCCACTGTGAGCTCACCTTTATTGGGAAAACAGGAAGTTGTGCATCTGTCTAATGGACATTCCAGGGATAATGTTGCAAATAATGCTCCTAAGATCACTGTAACTTGTGTCATATATTATTTTACGACTAAGTTTCCCAAAAAAGCACATGGATCATTAGCTATAAAGTAGAACTCAAGTATGTTTGCTTGAATGGCTAAAAGCTGTACCTCTTTGAAATTCACTCATAGTTTACAGAATTGGCTGTTGACTGATAATCGTTACCCTGGAAGACCTTTTTAAGGTTGTAAATTGTGGGGTTTTTTTTTTTTCTAATACAGACTTTAGGATATTGCTCCAAAGTCAAATGCTTTTTTTTTTTTTTTCAAGTTTTTATTCATAATATAATTTTATATTCATAATATACTGTCTAAATGTGTGAAAATCCTTAGTATTTTTAATATAGTTCAAATTATTAATATTTAATTTATATTTATATATACATACAATATTTTTTTTTTGTATAAATATTTTTGTATACTTCCATGTTTTATTAAAGTGAATTATGTTAAAAAATAAGAAAGCTCTATATAGTCATAAATGGTTCTAGTGATAAAACTTGCGTAGTTGCTGTTTACCCTGGAAGACCTTTAAAGGTTGTATATAACTTTTGTCCCTAAAACAGACTTTGAGACAACTTCAATGTCAAATTTGCAGGTTTCTTTTTTAAATATTGTTATATTCATAATTTAAGGTGTACATTTGTGAAAATTATTTATATTTTTAAAAATATTATATATATATATATATACAAACACACACACACACACATTTTTGTCTTATAAATAGTGCTTTCTTTCCCCAATTTATTTTAATATCACATATAAACAGTTTGCGGTGATAAAACAGTGCTTACGTACTTGCTGTTTTGGGAAAAAAAACCTGATTTTATTTAAGAGTGTCTCAAATATAAAGACATGATACTTTCTTATCATTGTCTTATCTTTTTGTTATTGTTTTTGTTTTTTGGCTATTTTCTTTCTCTGTTTGTCTCAACCGCTTTGCTTCTCTTCACAGTTTGAGTCTGAAAGCCTCTCAGAGTTGTCAGGAGCACGATGCTCTCTCAAGCCACAGAAAGAGAAACATTTAGTTTCCATTATAGTGCTTGAGCCGCTCTACATTGCCCCAGAGTTGTTCCTAATGGCTATAACATATTGAGACAGTGCTATGAAGGTATGCATGGGGCTGCTCAGCAGGACACCATTCAACGCACAGGTCAAACACGAGAAAACGAGAAACCGTACAGAGCAAGCAGGATTATATCCAGTGAGGAAACACTAGCTCATGTGTCATTTTGAATTTTTAAAAGCCTTCTGTACTTCTTTCAATGGACATATCATGAGGAGTTAAAGGGATAGTTCACCCAAAAAATTAAAATTCTGTCATCATTTACTCACCCTCATGCTGTTCCAAACCTGTAAGAATTTCTTTTTTTCTGTTGAAGTTTTTTTCCCTTTTTTCTGAAGAAGATATTTTGAAGAATGTTGGTAACCAAATACTTGACGGTAGCTATTGACTTCCATAATGTTTTATGGAAGTCAGTGGCTACCAGCAATTGTTTGGTTACCAACATTCTTCAAAATATATTTGTGTTCAGCAGAAAAAAAAAACTTTGGAACAACATGAGGGTGAGAAAATGACACAATTTTCATTTTTGGGTGAACTCTCTCTTTAACATTTATAATATTGATACATTTTAACATTTAAGACTAAACTTCCTCCCTCAGTTCGCCCAGCCTGTTTATGGAAATGTAGAAACTAGGTGATTCAGAAATAATCATGATTTTGGCATTGCTACCATCATTAACATAAGACTTCCAACATTTACATAAGAATGAAAATTCATTAATGAGAAACTTGATCCGCCCTGATGAATGATTTTTTTTTTGCAATGCTTAAGATGTTAGCCAATCATAGCAGAGCTCATTTGCATATGGAATTCTGCAAGATAAATCAAATGTTTCTCGCCTCCTCTACAGTAGTGAAGTATGCAATTTCGGATGCAGCCAAAGTAGCAAAGACTGCCTGTTTAATTCCGAGGGTCAGTGAGAGTGGAAATTATAATGTAAAAAACAGTTTTTGGCTGTTTTTGATGTTAAAAACATTACAAGCAGGTTTTAGAAAAATAAAATGCTTCAGACGTGTAGAATATGGCCTCTAAATAAGCCACACTGTTTAGTTTTTTTCAAACAACATGTAGCGCTGTTACATTTGCACGTACGAAAATGAGCTTTCCTAGACTGTGCATGTCTGTGTATATAAGTGAGTAAATGAATAGATACACAGTGTCCTGTGAAGTATGCATTCGTTCTCAGAGGAGGCCTAGTTTGGGCTCGTTTCTTTTTTCTCGCACTCTCCTTTAAAGGGATAGTTCACCTTCAGTTGCTGGTCCCCATTGACTTCCATAGTATGGAAAAAAGCCACTATACAATTCAACTGAAGTTGAACCATCCCTTTAATGTCTGAACATCATTTTTTCTCTCGCTCGGAGCTGTTTGGCTTTGTAATTGTTTTCCCAGCGGCTGCTGGCTGTTGCTTTTCCTCTCTGCCTTCTCAGTGGCACCGTTTGCCTGCGTGGATGTGAGCGAGTGCGTGCCGAACAGAGCAAAACACCTCCTCCAGCAGCAGCCGAGAGATTCGGCCCGCTCTTTTGCTCCTTTGTTTATATTCAGTGTTTTGTGTTTAACTGAACACTTACCCTTTAACAGCCTGGAAAATAACGATAATTTAATTGGCAACTGTCAGATAAGGTGGCAGACAGATCCGCAGTGGAAGCGGCTGAACTAAATATTGAAAACAGCGGTTTGGATAGGAATTCTTTCACAAGTTCACTGCAGGATAGGCTGCAGAAAATAACATTTGTTAATGCGAGGAGGGAGGAATACAAGACACAGTTCAGCAGAACTCGCTCAAGTATGTAAACTCGCGTCGAGCGTCTTGATGGAGAGCAGCTCTCTTTGGCATGAGAGGGTTGTCAGAGACACTTTGTCTTATGGATGAACATGGGCGGCGCTAGGGTTGTTTTTTCCCCGTTTTGTTTTACCACAAAGTTTATCCAATTAGGGTTGCAGTTAATAAAAAATAGGCTGTCTGCATCTTATTTTGAAACGAAATGTTTAAATTATAGCACATGAATTCTGTTCTTCAGACGACACCAAAGAAATTAAACCTGTTTGTTGACTTTGCGGTCAGAGTTTCGCTCCATCCAGATGTAATAAACACCCAATATTGAGCGTTGCTCAAGGAATTTGTCTGCAAACTTTAGAAACATAAACCAGGACATTGAGGTTCTTGCAAAACTTATTGAGACACAATTTCATGAACCTCATGAACTTTCAGCAAATCCAGCAACTATATTTTTCTTAGAAGTAACAGCCTGCTAACTTCTGAACAAACTTGACACTTTGACGACATAAAACTGTCGTCAAAGTATGGGGTCAGTATGATTTTATGTTTTGAAAGAAATGAATACTTTTATTCAGCAAGGACACATTAAAGTGATCTAAAGTGACAGTTAAAGACGTTTATGATATTATAAAAGATTTCTGTTTTAAATAAATCCTGTTATTTTGAACTTGCTATTCATCAAAGAATCCTAAAAAAAAATGTATCGCGGTTTCCACAAAAATATTAAGCAAACGGTTTTCAACATTGATGATAATAAGAAATGTTTCTTGAGCATCAAATCAACATGTTAGAATGATTTCTGAAAGATCACTTGACACTGAAAACTAAAGTAATGGCTGCTGAAAATTCAAAATATTAAACAAAAAATATATTAAAAATATAAAAATACAAAACAGTTATGGTAAAGTGTACATTTTAAATGTGAGATTTTAAAACATTTACTGTATTTTTGTTCACAAATGCATCCTTGGTGAGCATAAGAGACTTGTTCCAGAAACATCTTACTAACCCTAAACTTTTGAAAGGTAATGTACAGCAAGCTAAAAGGGTCATCATTGTTGTTTTATTTTAACAACAGTGATTTAAAATCCATACAGCGGTTTATGATCGGCTGAAACCAAGTTTAGTGGGACATTTTTAGTTTTCGCGCCAGTAGAATTGAGGGTTTTACTTCATTAACAATGACTAACCGCACATGTAACGTTTCAACATGTATTATGAAGTGTATCATATTCCCGTATTTCATCGAA